TCTGCACTGCAGAATAACTTCTTCATCAGCAGCCTCATGGAGGCCATGCAGCAGGCACCTGATGGGGCCCACGACCCAGAGGACCCCCATCCCCTCAGTGCAGTGGCTGGCCGCCCCCTCTCCTGCCCCAACCATGAAGGCAAGGTGGGCCCAAGCAGGCCCAGTGAGGCCAGGACTTGGGGTGGAGAGGGAGAGGTTGGGGGAGGGGGCCGAGTGGCTGTGGGTGAGAGGTGTTTCTGGGAATAAGTGGCCCAGGTAGGGGGCACACCTGGAAGGTGAGGGGCCAGGAGGGCAGGTGGGGGAGGGGAGGGGCAAAGAAGTTTGGTGTGTAGCCATTGCCTAACTGGAGTCTTTATGCTGCCAGACGATGGAGTTTTACTGTGAGGCCTGTGAGACGGCCATGTGCGGAGAGTGCCGCGCAGGGGAGCACCGGGAGCACGGCACGGTGCTGCTGCGGGATGTGGTGGAGCAGCACAAGGCCGCCCTGCAGCGCCAGCTGGAGGCAGTGCGCGGCCGGTAGGCCTGGTGGGAACCTGGGCTGGTGGGGCCATCAGAGATGGTGTTTCAATGGGGGGCAGAGGAGGGACCCAGGGCAAGGTACAGATAAAACTCTGTGAGAGAGAAGGGAGGCCTCAGGTAGGCGATCTCCTGGACAGCAGCAGTAGGAAGGGATAGTTTGGTAAGGACGCCGCCTCAAGCCACTCCGGTATGAGTTGTTTCCCTCCCCAGGCTGCCACAGCTGTCCGCAGCGATCGCCTTAGTGGGGGGCATCAGCCAGCAGCTGCAGGAGCGCAAGGCAGAGGCCCTGGCCCAGATCAGCGCAGCCTTCGAGGACTTGGAGCAAGCGCTGCAGCAGCGCAAGCAGGCGCTGGGTCAACGACCTGGAGGCCATTTGTGGGGCGAAGCAGAGGTGCATTTGTTCACCCTTTCCCTGCCTTATTGCCCCCGTGTATCCCTGCTTCCCACATTTGCACACCCCTTTCCCTAGTCAACACTTTCTGCCTCTGACATGGCCCCACAGGTGCTGTGGGCATCTGTGTCCCTTGTCCACACTCCCTCGCTTGTATTCTTTTCATGCATAGTACTGCAGGTTCACAGAAATCACAGAAGACCCACCTCTGCGCAGTGTTCTATCTCCGCCAGCCCATAGGGGCTGCAGACCA